GGTGTAGTAGGTCGTGTGTCATGCAACACACACATGGTGTAGAAGGTCGTGTGTCATGCGACACACATGGTGTAGAAGGTCGTGTGGTCTGCAACACACAAGGTGTAGAAGATCATGTGAGCTGCAGCACACATGGTGTAGAAGGTCGTGTGTTGATTATAAGTCTTAAGACTATCACATTTAGTCTACATATTACAATATGTATGATCATACAGGCCCCTCGCCCCAAGATATGTATACATAGGGAAGGGTAATCCCGTGTCTTGATATATACATACTTAAAATTAAAAAGAATACATAAATTAAAGGTGGTTGGTCAGTAAAGTATTATGGTGGTCTTAATAACCCTTTTGGGGTTGATGGGCCTTAATCCCACCAGGAAATTAAATGATAGATATACATATATATATGCAATTGACGATCACAAAACACTGATCATTTTATGCGGAAAATCCACAGAGAAATATGAAAGGAAGTGAACGTTTCGGCCTCTTAAAGCCTTTGTCAACACCAGACTGGTGTTGACAAAGGCTTTAACAGGCCGAAACGTTCACTTCCTTTCATATTTCTCAGTGGATTTTCCGCATACATATATATATATTTATATCTATGTCGTAACTAAAAGCCAGACCCGTACTGCTTGGCCTAATAAGCACAGGGGCACAATTTGATTGATCAGACAAAGCGATTTTCGACATTTTCAAATATTTCTATTCAAATTATTTCATATCTAGTTATATTATTATATTTTATTAAGAACATGTTACTTACTTCGATATGTAAAGTTAGGTTAGGATAGGTTAAGTTAGGATAGGTTAGGATTGGTTAGGTTAGGTTAGATGGGGGTTAGGTTAGGTTAGATGGGGGATTAGGTAAGGTTAGGTTAGGTAAGGTTAGGTTAGATGGGGGTTAGGTAAGATTAGGTTAGGTTAGGAACTTAGATTAGTTAGATTAGGTTCGGTTCGCTTAGGTGAGGTTAGATAAAGTTAGGTTATATTAGATTTGATAAAATTTCTCGTTTTAATTTTGATTCAAATAAAATAAATCCCAGACATATACAATACAACGAAAATTTCACCTTTCCTCATGAGTAAATGTTTAAAAATTTTAACAATACACGGAAAATTCTGCACGTTAGTCAACGACATCAAATTCTTCAGCTCTCTCAATCTATCTTTTCAAAAAGCAACAATCAACATATTTAAAACGGAGAGATAAAAACACACACACACGAGAAACAGGACCGCATAATGTTGAAAATGTGTGTGTGTGTTTTCGCTGACAGGCGAGTGACATGTTTACTGACTCCTCCTGCCAGCTAACGTGAAAAAACATGATTATTCTCTTATCTCAAAAGCAAATTGACAGCGTCCAGTGTGCGTGTAACTGAAAACACGTGCTCAAAATGCCACCGGAGATAACACACACATACACGCACACACACACATACACACACACACACACACACACACACAGACACACACACATACACAGTCACATACACACACACACACACACACACACACACACACACACACAGACACACACACATACACACACAGTCACATACACACACACACACACACACACACACACACACACACACACACACACACACACACACACACACACAGACACACACACATACACACATACAGTCACATACACACACACACACACACACACACACACACACACACACACACACACACACACACACACACACACACACACACACACACACACACACACACACTCACACACACACACACACTCATCCCAGAGTTTGAGGAAAATTACTAAATACGTTTTGACATGCATGAAATGAATTTTTATGAATAAATTGCGTATATTAAACAGCCCATAGTGCAGATGTGCTCCAGGCTGACTATATATATATATATATATATATATATATATATATATATATATATATATATATATATATATATATATATATATATACCTACCCAGCCCTCCTAACGTTCCCCAACGTCATGAAACTGTCGTACTAAAGTGCCCTAATTCTAACCTACCAGAGGACCCAAAACAGAAAACGGGACAGTGTGTCAATTTCGCCAGCCTCCAGCTATTTTCTAGTACGACGATTTTTTCCTCCTAGGTGACGTAAGGGATAGTGGACCCCTATCCTGGTACGCTGCTCGAACCCGGGTCACCTGAGCCCACTCCTCCAGATCTTAATGGACTCCTGTTGATCTTACGTTCAAAAGTCCTGTTGTTGTTGAATTTTTCTTACTTCATTTAAACTTAAGAAACTTTATACAACTTTTTCCTTCTTCTTCTATGCACCTTGTTTTATTTTTTTTTACCTGATGATTTTTATTAATATATAAAGTTGACTTTTTTGTATTTAACGTTTAATATTTTGATTATATGTTAGTTCTCTCCCTCGTTACAACGACCACCATGATAACACTAGTTACAACGACCACCATGATAACACTAGTTACAACGACCACCATGATAACAGTGGTGGTGATACAACGACCACCATGATAACAGTGGAGGTGTTACAACGACCACCATGATAACACTGGAGGTGTTACAACGACCACCGTGATAACAGTGGAGGTGTTACAACGACCACCATGATAACACTGGTGGTGTTACAACGACCACCATGATAACAGTGGTGGTGATACAACGACCACCATGATAACACTGGAGGTGTTACAACGACCACCATGATAACAGTGGAGGTGTTACAACGACCACCATGATAACAGTGGTGGTATTACAACGACCACCATGATAACAGTGGAGGTGTTACAACGACCACCATGATAACAGTGGAGGTGTTACAACGACCACCATGATAACAGTGGAGGTGTTACAACGACCACCATGATAACACTGGTGGTATTACAACGACCACCATGATAATAGTGGAGGTGTTACAACGACCACCATGATAACACTGGTGGTATTACAACGACCACCATGATAACAGTGGTGGTATTACAACGACCACCATGATAACAGTGGTGGTATTACAACGACCACCATGATAACACTGGTGGTATTACAACGACCACCATGATAACAGTGGAGGTGTTACAACGACCACCATGATAACAGTGGAGGTATTACAACGACCACCATGATAACAGTGGAGGTGTTACAACGACCACCAAGATAACAGTGGAGGTGTTACAACGACCACCATGATAACACTGGTGGTGATACAACGACCACCATGATAACACTGGTGGTGATACAACGACCACCATGATAACAGTGGAGGTGTTACAACGACCACCATGATAACAGTGGAGGTGTTACAACGACCACCATGATAACACTGGTGGTATTACAACGACCACCATGATAACAGTGGAGGTGTTACAACGACCACCATGATAACAGTGGAGGTGTTACAACGACCACCATGATAACACTGGTGGTGATACAACGACCACCATGATAACACTGGTGGTGATACAACGACCACCATGATAACAGTGGAGGTGTTACAACGACCACCATGATAACACTGGTGGTGATACAACGACCACCATGATAACACTGGTGTTGTTACAACGACCACTATGATAACACTGGTGGTGATACAACGACCACCATGATAACACTGGTGGTGTTACAACGACCACCATGATAACACTGGTGGTGTTACAACGACCACCATGATAACACTGGAGGTGTTACAACGACCACCATGATAACAGTGGTGGTATTACAACGACCACCATGATAACACTGGTGGCGTTACAACGACCACCATGATAACACTGGTGGTGATACAACGACCACCATGATAACACTGGAGGTGTTACAACGACCACCATGATAACACTGGAGGTGTTACAACGACCACCGTGATAACATTTTCCTCTACACACCTGCACTTCTAGCACACCAACCAAGCCCTACACACCTGAGCTTCTTGACCCCCCCCCCAGCACCATATATATAGGGAACCTATATATATATCTGAGGTCAAGAAACCTGGACAACCCCTGCCCCCTCCCCCCCCTGCCCCCCGTGTTAATGACTTAATTTATGACGCAAAAGTTGTTTGAGAGGTCGGAGTGGGGGGGGGGGTTATGGGGTCGACGATGGCAAGGGGGTTCTGGAAGGGATAAGGAAAAGGGGTGGAAGTAGAGTAGGTGGAAGAGGAGAAGAGGGGAATGGAATGGCAACATGAAATAAGAGAATTAATTTCCTTGAGAGAGAGAGAGAGAGAGAGAGAGAGAGAGGGGGGGGGTCACACGATGTCTGGAGCTGGTCGTCAGCCCCCCCTATGTCTGGGGCTGGTCGTCAGCCCCCTCTATGTCTGGAGCTGGTCGTCAGCCCCCTCTATGTCTGGAGCTGGTCGTCAGCCCCCTCTATGTCTGGAGCTGGTCGTCAGCCCCCTCTATGGCTGGAGCTGGTCGTCAGCCCCCTCTATGTCTGGAGCTGGTCGTCAGCCCCCTCTATGTCTGGAGCTGGTCGTCAGCCCCCTCTATGGCTGGAGCTGGTCGTCAGCCCCCTCTATGTCTGGAGCTGGTCGTCAGCCCCCTCTATGTCTGGAGCTGGTCGTCAGCCCCCTCTATGTCTGGAGCTGGTCGTCAGCCCCCTCTATGTCTGGAGCTGGTCGTCAGCCCCCTCTATGTCTGGAGCTGGTCGTCAGCCCCCTCTATGGCTGGAGCTGGTCGTCAGCCCCCTCTATGGCTGGAGCTGGTCCTAGGCTACGAGCCCCTAGCCCGGCTTGCTCGTCCGGTCGAGAGAAGCCGTCGAGGCGATAATCTCACATATTTCACCATTTATCAGAGCGTTATGACCTTCGCCGCTCCTCGCTCCTACCGGTCAATGTTACACGCAAAACAACATTATCCTTTATACCATCAACATTAACCTTTACACCGTCGAGTGCAAAAATATCAACAAATAATAAAGTTTGTGTGGAATTGTAGAGATTGTTTACAGAATCCCGTTTTTTGTTGCCCAGTAAAGCCGTTCTTGTATAGAAACGGGATCAA